AAATGAACCATTAAGTGTTGGTTGTATTTATTTATTCAACCAGCTACTCTTCCACCTTTTTTGTTTAATGGAGTTATGTAGACGGACTGTTTTGTTTACCACCTGTGGTTAACAGGGATGGCGTGGGTTCTGCATTCCGGCTCCTTTGTTGCCCGTTTCTGTTCAGCCTGCTCCACGGTCCACATGAACCATTTATGCTTAAACGTGGGCATTTAGACAGCCAAGCATGAGGTAGAGCTTGGTGCAGACTTTGATGTAGAGTTGTATATTTATAAAAAGGAAATTGCTTGAAATTTTGCATCTGCATGGTTTATAAATTTGATGTTTTTGGGCGTACGCTTTTATGGATGCTTTTCAAAGAGTCCCCTGATCCGCCATCTGTTGCTTAGCAGCACAGCTGTCAGCATGCTTCATATTCTCCAATGATTTTCCAAATATCGTGAAACTTGTGACTTAAAGCTGTACAGAATAGCTCTATAGTAGTGATTTCTGGAGCAACGATCACAATGTATGCTTTGTAACAAGTTATAGTTTGCTTGAAAGCAAAGAACATCCAAAATAAAAAAAAAAGTTTGCTTTTGTTTTGGATCAAAGGACTTTCTTTGTTTTTTTTTTTTATATTTTGAACCCAAAAAAATAGAAATCGTTTCAGGTGATTTTAACACATTTATGACTTCTTCCAAACAGCACTCACCTGATTTTCACAGTCTGAATGCTGACTCTACAAGAGCAGTGTGGCATCTGCAGACATGCCCCCCTTAGGTTGTTCCGTCCATCTGTGCAATCTTAGGTTTCATAACAGGACTCGCTTTACTCCCAGAAATCTCCCCAAACAGGAATTTCAGGGAAAGTAACAGTACTCAATCCATTCAGAAAGTGGTGGCAGTTTGACATGTCTCCTTTTGAAAGGTCTTTTATTTGTCAAGATAATCTGTTTGAGTTTGCAACAATAGGCTGTCACCTCATGTGCTTCTAGGTGACAGGTCATCAACCACATCCTGTAGTTCCTTCGTGTTTTAGTGGAGCAGGACTCAAAAGGCTCTTTATGTCAGAAAAGTCATTTAAAATAACTTGTCTGCTTTGAATAAAAATGCAAAGGCAGAACCTTTTTTCCAAGGGGAGAAAAATACGTTTGCCCTTTAAAAAGTGGAAGTGGAAGCTAAACAGATTAAAACAAACACCTGTGAAATATTCAAAGAAAGTGCTTTTTAGAAATAACCACACATCACCGTAAAAATCAGCACAGTTTATTGGCATCACACACCAAACAGTTTTCATATAAAGAGGGAATGTATCAAGTATAGACTATGAAAGTGCAAACAACATTTTAAGAACTAGTTGCTTTACAATAGAAAAACTTAATGAGTTTAAAAAAAGTTATCATTTCTTAAAATAGACCAAGGGATTAGAGGTGAAACGTAAGTAGAACCTCCTTTAATTGCACTCATTACACAGAGAAACACGTCCTCTTTGATTGGGACACTCCCAACCATCATATATCTGTTATCTATATGGCACTGACAATCTGAATACTTAAGCAATAATTGCTGTTAGATTTAGTGTTGCACCACGCATCAACTTTTATAAAGTTAATTTACTGGAATCAGACATGAGTCTGTACATAAAATGTATTCTGGAAGGTCAAACATGATTGTTTTTCACCCCATTATTCACAAGTTATTAATAAAAGCAGAAATACCTATGTTATATTCTTTTTCAATTCGTCTTCAGATACATGATACAAACACTGTCGACAAACTTTATGGATATAAATGATTTGCCTTTTTTTCTTTTTTTTTTTTAAAGAAAAACCGTTTGGAAATCCAGGGCGGAGAGCCCTTCTAAATATAATACTAACAATAGAACAGTAACATTTTTTATTAAACCATTAAACTATCAGTTTTGTTCATCGATGCATTATGATGTGAACAAACCAAAATGCACATGCTACAAAATGTCTGGATTAATAAAAAAACAACAAAATGTTTGTGTTTGACCACTAAATGCTATAACAGAGACGCTTCTTTAAGGTAACAGGTGTTTTAGTCTGTGCAAATGGCACCCGGAAAAAAGGTGGAAAAAGAAGTGAATCATGAAGACTGACACAAAGGCACTAAATCTGCAGTTTCACTGAAAACTGCTTCAAAAACATCAACTCCCCTTTCACACTTCGAGGATGTCTTCATGCACTCCCCTGCAGAGTTGAATCCACTATACACAACTCAAGCTGTAATAATTAAAGAAAATAGGACTGGAAGTGATTGCCTGGTTTTCTTATTGGCTGACCCTGCCTGCTGCATACAAACAAAGTCTCTCATGTTTTTCACATTAAACATTCAGCTCAAAGGTTTTCACATGAGCTACAAATTATTCAGTTCCAAATGTGGGAGCTGATTCCACCAGGGCGGCCCCCGCGGGATCTGTCAGCGTATTCTTCTTTTTTAGCTGTGAGGACACTTCCTATTCAGACTGAAGCTCTTAGAGATGAATAACTATTGTCAAATCCATTCTTTTTTTGAGCAGGCCACCTGCTTTTCAGTTGAACAAATAACCTTTTCCTCTCTTGAAAGCGACTTTCACATAATGTCTGAAACCACTGCAGTGTTAACACTATTCAATTTTACACAGCACGCAACAGCTTTTAGTGAGTGGGATTTGAAAATAACATGGAGCCACAACTTCAAAGCAAAAAAAGTATGGCTCTGGACATGCAGGTTTTCAGAGATTGTGGTAATCAGGCACAATTTGCTTAAAAGAATCCACTTGGTGACGGCAAACTGTGCTTTTAAATCTGTTTGGCACCCTGTAAAGTAAGCTGATATGAACAGCATTAAGAACCTTCTATAGAAATTGTTTGAATACAATAGCAACGTATAAATTTGCTCTTTAACACCTGATTCAGTCATACAGTAGGCTATACTCCAGTAGAAAACGCCTGCTAGATATTTTAACTCCATTCCACTTGAATCTAGGAAGGAGATTCAGTTTTTTTTTTCCCCACCATCAGGCTGCATCCTAATTAAAATTTCTAAGTTCTTCCTTTTATTTATTTTATTGCAGTGTGCTCACAACACTAAAAAAGGAAATCTAAGATCTGATTTTACTGCTGGCTTAAAGTTCCTGCACTTAAACTTAACTGATTTATTTTTTTCCCACTATGGCTGTAAAACCAACACATTCTTCATTCTTAATACATTCCACACAAGCAGCTTCTAGAAACTGCTTTCCTGTCTGTAGTGGTTTTGGCCTTCAGTAAACCTTCCAATTCCAACCAAGCAAATCAAAACAAGTGTGAGTGGTCCTCCCACTCAGAGGAGCTGGTGCTGGGCAGCTGGTCAGAGGCATAGTCGGAGCGTGGACTGTCAACATGGCTGGCCTTTGAGTCGGTGCACTCAGCATGCTCTCCACTACTATCAGGCTCTGCCATGTAAGGCAGCTGGGTGGCGTCAAACCCCACCAGATCTAACTGAGTTGGCCTCTCTGCGACAGCACAGCTGTTCTCCTCCATGTCGCTTGACCTCTGAGTGGAGAAACCTACATCTGCCTCCTGAGGTTTTCCACCATCAGCGAAGACGCTAAAACCAGCCCTCTCCTCGTCCTGCGGGCGTCCATCCCTGCCTTCCTGAAGCGGACCCACGTCAGAGTCGTCGTTTGAGGAGGATGGCGGAACCAGAGTGATACCCTGTGGATTTATATCGTGAAACCAAGCCATAATGTTTCCAAGCAGATTGGCATTGGTTGGCAAGGCAGAAGATGACGATGGGTCGCTGCTGCCACACGTGGTGGAGTCTGTCACATCGGTGGAGGAAGAGAAGAAGCCGGTGGAGGAGCTGCTGCCACCAAGGGCGGCTGGTTTCTGCACCCGGCGGTCAATGTCACAGTATTTCACAGAGGTGGGGCCGCCGGGGCTTGTAGAGTACTGGCTGCTGATGTTGCCCAGCCTCGGCACGTTATCTCCTCGCTCCAGCAGCTCTGAGCTGCTCAGAGAAGTTCTTGGGAGGACCTCGACACCCGGAGAGCTCTGCTCAAGCCTGGAAGGCAGGGAAGTGCCAATTGCGCCAAGTGAGGCTTCATTGGCGAGGAAATCGTGGTTGGCGCCGATCTCTGCCATCCTTGATTCTTGGAGTGACAGCTGGATGGCCAGTAAAATGTTAGGGTCGTCCTCATCCAGGGAGTCAAGGCCCTGCAAGAGCGAAATGTGAACAAGGCAACCTTAAAAAAATGACTTCCTGATTAAACCAGAAGACTGTTATTATGTGTTTATCTCTTAACATTTTCCTTTAGTCTTTATTTTTGAATTACAAATATTGCATTTATGTAACTTGGCATAATATTATCGTTAAAACCATAAAGAGAGACATGCCACCTGATGAGAAAAATATTATTCAACCTCAACAGTTTTCTCATCCAAAAAGCTCATATGAACACTGTTCCATAGGCACTCACCATCAAATGAGCAGGTCTGCGACCACCTCCTACATCCTGAGCTTCTTTTGTTGGTAATAGATTTATTAAAAAAAAGAAAAGAAAAGAAAACACATGAGAGTGAAAATTACAGTCATTAGGTTGACTCTACATTTGCAGCTGCAAAGCAGTTTATTTCATTACCCTTTATTACAAGTACTCAATTCCTAGAGTAGAGCACATGGCTGCAAACACCTGGCAGACCACTGACCTTCAGAGTTTGCACAGACAATTCACTAATTAGGTGTTTTTAACCAAAATGAATAAGTTGTCCTTGGCATGGCAGAGGCACTTTGCAGGTTTCTGAAATGGCAAATCGACTATGCACTGCTAAAAGAAATGTAATGGACAAAAGTGCCTGATTTAAAATACTAGGCTGAGGAGTTGTCATTTTCTGCATTCTTCACATGCATTTATTCAAATGAAGAAAAGCGCTGGAATATTTTGTTAAACGGCTTTAAAAGATAAATAGTTTATCTTTTAAAGCTGAAGTATTATTATCTTCCATGTAGCAGAAAAGTTTTTCGAAGAATAGTTGGTCCAAAAGAATGAAGTTAAAGAGAGATTTAGACCAAACTAGACCGCTTCCAAATGAAGTAATGTATGAGGAACAACGTTTGCAGGAAGAACACATAATGGTTGATCAGTGGGTCAACAGGGACAGCATCCAGCTTTGGGATTACTTTGTTCGGATAGAACTGGAGTTTTTAATTGAAATGGGTGAAATTGTGACAGCCGCAACACGAAAACATTCCTCTTAAACTAAAAAGAGCAGAAAAACACTCTTTATATAAAGACAGAACCAGAAAACGAATACAGCTGCTTGTTGACAGATGTTTCTCACATGAAATAACAGAGAGGAGAGAAAGGAAACAGTTGCAGTACCTAAAATGGTGTCGCTGAGCTCATCAGGGTCGGGTGTGTTGCTTCGGACACTGGACATGTCGCCTCTCCTTCGTTGCCGATGTCTCCTCCTGTACTGAAACTCAGCATATTCCTTTAAACAAGAACAGGAGTCACTATTAAAGAAGAACAACTGACCAAAGTAGGATTTATTATTGATATAAAAGCACAAATCATAAATAACCTCTCTGATTCATTCAGTAACATATATCGTAATATTTTTCAATAAGTTAGACCAAGTAAAATACTTGATCACTAGAAGTCCCCAGTTACTAAATTCTGCAAATCAAACAACAAATAAAAAAGTCAAACACAAAGTAAAAAGTTTTTCTTGTGCAAAGCCAATTCATCTCACATGTGGGCGTAACGCCTGCTAATGTTTATGTTTTTGACAGATACATGACACACCAATAAAGTGAATAACCAGCCTTTCAATTCATGTTAAAGGTTCTTTGACTCTCATTACAGATTCATTTCTAATGAGAAATAATGTAGCACCCTATGTTCAATTAGCCAATAAGCAGTTTTTAAATACAGCATTTCTTTTATTACATAGGGAGACGTTGCAGCATATCATTATTATAGCAAAAAACAGGCTGTATTAGAATTCTAATGAATGTACCACTCACTGGAGCGTAAAAGTTCATGCAGAATCAATTAAGAAATCTTTTACTGCAAATGCACAGTTTTAATGTGTTTTAATGTGATAATGGTAGAAACTCTAAGAGCTCATAATTGGTATCAGTAGATTTGTTATACAGCATAGATACAGCAGGAGAAAAAAAATGGGGTCTTTAAAATGACTGATTTATTAAATGGCAACCAAAAAGCTAAAAATGACCACTAATAGTGAGTAATAATGCTCATCCTAAACCATCTGAAGTTCTAAAGGTTTTAATGATGGTAAATGAACAACTGGAATAGAAACTTGTGGTTGATGTTGGGCATATGCTGCAATCAGAGATCTGTAATTAGGGTCAGTTTTACAAGATGGAACAAAAAAGTGGAAAACCAGGACATCAAAGGTTCCTCAGTAAAAATTAAAAAGCTGGCTCACAACGTTTATAGTTCTAGCTGACAACATTTCTGATCATTGGCATCAAGTAATCCAACGTAAGGAAAAAAACAATATTGATTTGCCTTCCTAGAAAACTCGGAAAGATGTTAGTTTGGAGTCAAAGCTGATTTCCGGAATTTGTTACATGGTCAAGCGTTAAATAATGAGACGTTCAATGCAGCTGTCAGAATCCTCTCCTAACGAGTAAGTGTTCTCATGAATAAGTTACAATTTTTTTTTTTCGTTCACAATATTCAAACTTCAAAAACCGATCCAAGAGGACTTCTCAGTCAATTTCCTCATTCATTAGAAAAAATCACTGAGTCACATCCATATATAATCAAAAGGCTGTCATCCAAATTCTGCCTTTCATGTTTCCACCGGTCTAAAAATAGCCCCACTATGAAGTAATGTGTCGGCATTGTAAGAAGCATGGAGCGGCCCATCTGTAGCTGCGCCTGTGAGGCGGTGTCAGCCAGCTTTGATTAGTTACCACAGTGTTCCAATTAGCTGCTGCAGCAGAGAAACAGCAGCTCTTTACTGTGCGCTATTAGAAGCACAAGTCCATAATAATCGGACAACAAAGAAGTCTGCAACCCTGTTTGTTATTGAGAAGCATGAGAGACCAAAGGAAGAAGGTGAGAAAACCTTCTGTTCTACATATAGATGGATAATTTGTTCCTCTGAAGAGGAGCCACTCATTCATGCACCATGCCTGATTAAATAATTTCTCCTGAACTTGCTTCAGATGCTCAGTGGATTAAAGTATCCTTTACTAAAAGACAACGATCACATCATTGATCTTAAATATCGACAGGAATAGTTTTATAACCATATAAAATGTGTATTACTGTTCGATTTCAAGTGAAATATGGGTGGAGTTGTGAGAAGGTGAAACGCAGTGGCAGACGAGTTGGAGGTGACATTGTTATAGGCCAATTTAGAAGGCTTTTTTTTTTTTCTACCCTGACATCAACCCAAGTGATCGACACTTTTCAAAATCCAGCTCCCACTGAAACAAGATTACAGTCCCTGTGCAGAGCGGTGATGCATGTGAGAAGGAGTAAAATGTCTCAGGCTCCTCATGGAAGCACTCTGCTGTCACTTCTGCTGCAGAGAGGCTCAGATAAGACATGAAAGGCAACAACATGGCTTCTTCTTTTTTAATTCTTTATTAGCTGCTTGAGCAGAGTAATCCCTGGTCATGGGCCTTCCTACTGTTTTATCTATACAGTAATATACAGGAAAATAGACATATTAGTCCCAGATTATATATATATTTTTTTATTTTACGGCTTCTACATTAAAGATATTGATTAAGCTACAGTGCCTCTACTGGAAAAAAGGAATTTTAATAAGATTTCTTTTTTTTTTAAGGATCTAAAAATTGACAACTTTTAGTGTGTTCTTAAAAACAGGCTTAAGGTAGATAAAAAAAAAACACCTTCAGCTGAGGGTGGACACAGGCGTCCAGGTGGTAACAGACAGAAACTAGATGTCCGAGCCACCTCAGCTGACTAATGTGGAGGAGAAGCAGCTCTCCTCATCTTTTTCTAAGGTAGTGCCCAGCCACCCTACAGAGAAAGTTAATCTCAGCCGCTTGTATTAAGGATCTTGTTCTTACATGAACAGGACCCTAAGATACTACAACACCTCCACTGAAGACAGGAACTCTTCTCTGACCTGAAGGCCACCTTTATCCAGTGTAGAACCATGTCCTTGGACCTGGAGGTGCTGATCTTTATTCCGGTTGCTTCATACTTTGCTGGTTATGTATTATTTTAGCCTCAAGTGGATGGGAGAAACTCAAAACAAACTCAGTCTTTTACATTTATCTTCCTTTTTCAAGAATCCTTTAAGCCACTAGCATGCACTTCCCTAACGTTACGTCTCTTGCAAAGACCAGTGAGGAACATTTAAGAACAAACAG